TACTGAATATACTGTATATATATATACGTATATATATATATATATATATACCTATATATATATATATATAAATTTTTAAAGGCAAATGGGAAAAACCCACTAAACAGCAAACGGCCACATAATGCAAAACTATTTAAAATTAAAACGGAACAGTAGAGAAAATCCGATCAGAATGACAAAATAAACTAAGTATCCACTGGAAGGAATCCCAATATCTGCAGATTTAATTTCTTTTATTTACTTTAATTTGTTTATTTTATTCATTTCTTCCAACAGCGAAGAATCGCCACTTACCTACAGTTTCCTATTGCTGAGATAGTTTTTTAACTATTTATAATATATGATGGAAGTGTTGGCACAGCGGCTGAGGCTCGGACTCTCAACCCCTTGGTCAGAGGGTTTCGAAATTCTTTCTGTGCAAGTCGTTTGTGTCCTTGGGCAAGATTTATCTGCGTTTGTCTCTCTTTACCCAGGAGTATATATGGGTACCGGCATATGCCAGTGAGGAGGAGTGGTGATTCCCTCAAAGCATTGAGAACCCAAACGGATCCGTTTCGGCCTTCCAGGCCTCATCAGTGCAGCTAGGGTATAGACAAAAACGAAACGTTCGACCAGCTTAGGTGGGGCCCAAACTAGTCCCACAACCACTAATGATTACAGAGCCAAAGCAAGGCAATATATATATACACAGCCCAGGTGGAATACAAGCTATGTGGCTCGGTTCCAGTAGATACAGAGAATATTTTGTCATTCTTAACGCGTCCTATGAAATTCTTACGAGACAGCACTAGTCCGCGAATTTGTGAACAAGAGCGGAGATCTAAAGATGCAATCTCTACCGTGCATCAGTGGCGGCCCGCTGGATCTCAATAGAGATTCTTTAATAATATATACATTTTAAAAGGCAAATGGGAAAACCCATAAAACAGCAAACGGCCACATAATGCAAAACTATTTAAAATTAAAACGGAACAGTAGAGAAAATCCGTTCAGAATGACAAAATAAACTAAGTATCCACTGGAAGGAATCCCAACATTAACATTTAAAAACATCCAAAAATGACAAAAATTTCCAAAAATACAAATTTACCCTAAGTGAATAAAACTTCATATTTTATTTCTCTTAACAAAGGTATAGCCTTGTGAAAAATTTGAAAGAAATCCATTTGTTTGAGTCTGCCACTATTTTTGAAATTTCTTTGATTTTTACAGACAACTGCTCTTATAACGTAATTTCATCTGTCTCTACTAATATTGATAGTTGAGACTGTCTTTTCAGACTCTGAATGAACAAATTTAAAAAACATATACATAATAATAATCAGAAAAAAACATACCCTCAGTTGTCACTGATGTGGTTGGCTTCAATGTTGTAGGTCCTGTATACATATAAAAATGTCATTAATACGTACTTTTTAATTAGAACATTTAACAAGTTTTAATTTCATTGGGCATTAAAGTTAATTAAATGTTACCACTTAATATCAGTTTTCTTCACCTGTTATTAATGGATGAGCTGTAGTTGCAGATTCTGATTACACACATTTTTTAAAAACATACATAATAGTAGTTAAAAAAATACTCTCAGTTGCCACTAATGTGGTCGATGGTAGCACTGTTGTAGTTTCGGTATGAATACCAACATTGAATAATATTCAAAAGATGCTAATCAATTAAACACTTAACAATTAAGTTTATTTTGTTGGAAAAGTTTTTAAATATTACAACCTAAATTCAGCTGTCTCTAGTACTGGTGATGGTTGAGACTGTCATTTCAGACTCTGAATGAACAAATTTAAAAAGTATATACATAATAGTAATAAGTAAAAAACATACCCACAGTTGTCACTGATGTGGTTGGCAGCAATGTTGTAGGTACTGTATACATATACAAATGTGATTAATATTTAAAAGGTACTTTTTATTTAAAACATTTAACAAGTTTTAACTTCGTTGGACATTAAAGTTAATTAAATTTTACCATTTAATATCAGTTGTCTTCACTGTTATTAATGGCTGAGCTGTAGTTGCAGATTCTGAATACACACAATTTTAAAATACATACATAATAATAGTTAAGAAAATACTCTCAGTTGCCACTAATGTGGTCGATGGTAGCACTGTTGTAGGTTCAGTATGAATACAAACATTGAATAATATTTAAGAGTTGCTAATCAATTAAAAACACTTAACAATTAAGTTTAATTTTTGTTGGAAATTAAAGTGTTTAAATATTATAATTATCATTATTTTCAGAATCTGAATGAACAAATTTGAAAAGCATATACATAATAAGAATCAGTATAAAACATACCCTCAGTTGTCACTGATGTGGTTGGCGGCAATGTTGTAGGTACTGTATACATATAAAAATGTGATTAATACGTAATTTTTAATTAGAACATTTAACAATTTTTAACTTCATGGGGCATTAAAGTTATTTAAATGTTACCACTTAATATCAGTTGTCTTCACTGTTATTAATGGCTGAGTTGTAGTTGTAAATTCTGATTACACACATTTTTTAAATACATACATAATAGTAGTTAGAAAAATACTCTCAGTTGTCACTAATGTGGTCGATGGCATAGGCGTAGATCCCGGGAGGGAGGGATGGGGATATATCCCCCAATATTTGACAAGGGGGATGGTCCATTGTATCATCCCTCCAATATTTTGATTATGTATGGGATAAAATGAAGTTTTACACACTTCAAAAGACTGTCACAGAAATAATTTGCACTGTCTTATGCGCTTACAAAAATGAAAATTAGCATAATGTATTAATGTTGATAACAAAATTATTTTATCTGGTACCAATCTAAGCTCTTCTTTCCTTAGATGTTAGATGTGCTTGCAAAGAGAGCCACATTTCACACTCAAAGGTGTGTACAACATCAGTAAGGTTATGTCAATTCCAAGAATGTATAAGGTTATATCGGTTGATGAGGAATTTATTGATGAGGCCTATAATAGCAAAATGCATCAATTTATTTTGCAAAAACAAGAATTCCAGCTTCAGAGTGGGGCACATCCCCTGTCCGCACAAGGGCACACATTGGCGCCAACACCAGGCGCGTAACAGGGGTCTTGGGTCATAGTGGGTATTTATTTTCCCAGTTAGTAATTTACCATACCTATCCCACCCCACCCCACTCCCCATATAGAAAAAAAATACGACATAGGGCTTATCTTATTTATAACATAGCCCACACACGTGTGTTTGAAACTAAATATAAGCATTTTCATCATGGTTTTATTTATTACAAACATATTATTTCACCATCAATACATATTGAAGCCCTTCTTTTAGGTTAAAACGATCTATCTTAAATTTGTCTTTCTTGAGTTTCGGACTATTATTAGGCTTATGTGTTTAAATAACTTAAAAGGATATACCTAAAAAAAGCCCTAAAAAATGCGCGCGAAGCGTGCAAAATATTCTTGTGTTTTTAATTCCAATTTCGCTGGAATTGATGAAAACTAGAAATGCGAGCAAAGAATTTGAGAATTTTAGGCACTTTCAGAGGATGCATTTGTCAAGTGGTGGGGAAAGATTTTCAAAAGATGGATATTTTTTCCTTTTCCCCCGGTGTTTTTTAATTCTAATTTCGTTGGAATTGATCAAAACTCCCTAAAATGTGCAATTTTTAGAGGAAATTGGCCTATGCTAACAAGAAATGTGCGCGAAATACGCGAAATTTGAGGTTTTTTAGGCACTTTAAAGGGCATTTATAAAGGGGTGGGGAAGATTTTTCAAAGATAGATATTTTCCCCTTGTCCACCAGTGGTAAAGCCATCGGGCAGCATAGATCAAAGGAGTTATGACTGTTTTTGAAATGGAGAAGGGGTTGCAGGGTGTTGTGAGTCTGGTCATTATGATATCTTCCTTTCTTTCTTTATTTTTCTTTTCTCCTTTTCTTTTTCTTTCCTTTTCTTTCTTTCTTCTTTCTCTTTCCCTCTCTCTCCCCTCTTTCTTTTCTCTTATTACCCAGCCCGGTACGACGGCTTGGTCAGCCCGGTAAAAACCGTCAGGGGAGGGGCAGTTTCCCCCCTTCCCCCCGCGCCTGTTACGACACTGGCTAACACGCCAATCATCCCCCCACCCCAATGAAAAAAACTTTTCTACGCCACTGGTCGATGGTAGCACGGTTGTAGTTTCGGTATGAATACAAACATTGAATAATATTCAAACGTTGTTGTTAATCAATTAAAACACTTAACAATTAAGTTTAATTTTGTTGGAAAATTGAAGTTTTTAAATATTATAACCTAAATTCAGCTGTCCCTACTACTGGTGATGGTTGAGACTGTCATTTCAGACTCGGAATGAATAAATTTAAAAAGTATATACATAATAGTGATAAGTTAAAAACATACCCTCAGTTGTCACTGATGTGGTTAGCGGCAATGTTGTAGGTACTGTATACATATAAAAATGTGATTAATACTTAAAAGGTACTTTATATTTATAATATTTAACAAGTTTTAACTTCGTTGGGCATTAAAGTTAATTAAATTTTACTACTTAATATCAGTTGTCTTCACTGTTATTAATGGCTGAGCTGTAGTTGGAGATTCTGATTACACACATTTTTTAAATACATACATAATAGTAGTTAAAAAATACTCTCAGTTGCCACTAATGTGGTCGATGGTAGCACTGTGGTAGTTTCAGTATGAATACTAACATTGAACAATATTCAAAAATTGCTAATCAATTAAAAAACCTAACAACTAAGTTTAATTTTGTTGGAAAATTGAAATTTTTAAATATTATAACCTAAATTCAGCTGTCCCTACTACTGGTGATGGTTGAGACTGTCATTTCAGACTCTGAATGAACAAATTTAAAAAGTATATACATAATAATAGTAAGTAAAAAACATACCCTCAGTTGTCACTGATGTGGTTGGCGGCAATGTTGAAGATACTGTATACATATAAAAAAGTGAGTAATACTTAAAAGGTACTTTTTATTTATAACATTTAACAAGTTTTAACATCATTGGAAATTAAAGTTAATTAAATTTTACCACTTAATATCAGTTGTCTTCACTGTTATTAATGGCTGAGCTGTAGTTGGAGATTCTGTATACACATTTTTTTAATACATACATAATAATAGTTAAAAAATTACTCTAGTTGCTACAAATGTGGTCGATGTTCAGTATGAAAACAAACATTGAATAATATTTAAGAGTTGCTAATCAATTAAAACACTTAATAGTTAAGTTTAATTTTGATGGAAATTGAAGTTTTTAAATAGTATAACCTAATTTCAGCTGTTTCTACTACTGGTGATAGTTGACACTGTTGTTTCAGACTCTGAATGAACAAATTCACATTTTAAAAATACATACATAATAATAGTTAAGAAAATACTCTCAGTTGCCACTAATGTGGTCAATGGTAGCACTGTTGTAGGTTCAGTATGAATACAAACATTGAATAATATTTAAGAGTTGCTAATAAATTAAAAACACTTAACAATTAAGTTTAATTTTGTTGGAAATTAAAGCGTTTAAATATTATAACCTAATTTCATCTGTCTCTACTACTAGTGATAGTTGAGACTGTAACAGACTCTGAATGAACAAATTTGAAAAGCATATACATAATAATAATCCGTAAAAAACATACCCTCAGTTGTCGCTGATTCTGTGGTTGACGGCAATGTTGTAGGTACTGTATACATATAAAAATGTGATTAATAGTACTTTTTAATAAGAACACTTAACAAGTTTTAACTTCATTAGATTCTGACCACTTAATATCAGTTGTCTTCACTGTTATTAATGGCTGAGTTGTAGTTGTAAATTCTGATTACACACATTTTTTAAATACATACATAATAGTAGTTAAAAAAATACTCTCAGTTGTCACTAATGTAATGTAAACTACAGTAAAATGTTTAGCCAATAAATATGATGTGTGTGAAGAAAACATTAAACAATATTTTAATTTGGACCTTCAAAAAGCAGTTAAAAAGAAATTGCTATGAAATTTTAGGGGGGGTGGGGACTAAAGCCTGTTTAGCCTCCCTCTAAATCCGCCCCTGAATACCGCACAAGATTTTTTTTTGTTTTCTCCTCCTTCCCCCAGAAAGAAGTACACTATAGAATGAATTATTTTGTCTATTTTGAGATCATCATTTTGAGATCAATAACAATTTACAAGACAAAAATCATCTATAGACATGCTCTTCCACAAATAACAACATCGTTTATGGTTTGAAGTTTTGCATGGCGAAGTTATATTATATATTAATTCTTGCGGTACACCAGGTAGATAGTTCTAAAAAGAACTGTTGTTGTTGTTGGTTGAGAATATTTCGACGTTTCGATTGAGTTGCTTCAATCGTCTACAGAATAATATCTGCAGAAATTCCAAACAGGGAAAATACTTATATTTTGGGATAGTGAGACTTGCCGCGGATTGGTTGAAAACTATACAATAGGCGAGACTACGTGTGGAAAAGCTATTAAAAAAAGCCAAAATTTACAGTCTGTGTAAACGGGTGGGGAGTGGTATAAACATCGTTTATGTTGGGGTAAAGCTGAACTGGGACTGATAGCCACTGTACCATCTTGGCATTCCAGACGGACAAAGAAGCTACGGGAATTCACAAACACGATACAGTTCATCCAGATACTGAATTTGTTATCAGCGATATTTAGTTGTTCATGCTTAATCAGATCCATAGGATGGTGTGATGCTTGGGTGTTCAAAATGAACCAACGCGGATCGGGGATCGCTGTTTCCAAAGACGGTGTCAAGGGGAAGAGCCTGTTAGATCGCTTTAATATTGTAGGGTGTTGTACGATTCAAATGGATTACACTGGTTAAAAGATTTAGGATTCCCGTTATGTTTTATGACAAATACAACAATTTTTGGTTTAGTACATGTTCAACTATCTTAAAAATGTGGACCATTTTCCGTTTGGAAGAGGGCGGTGCGTACATTACGCACTCATCGCACCACCTCCTACCAGTGGCGTAACGATGAGTCATCGGGCCCGGCGGCGAGAAAATGTTGGGGCCCCTTTGCAGTGAAGTAGACATTGTCAACAAATATCGTGTGACTGTTTAACAATGTAATCAACTAATAGTTTTGCAAACACATTTTTAATCTGAATACCGTATACCTAGCCCTGAGCATCTTAATATAAAATAAATGACAGCACCACTTTCAAGACTAACTTGTATAGAATTAATGCTCTAGCTTTCGTCCACACAGTCGACTTCATCAAGAGACTGATAAAACAATACATAGGGCCATTGTAACATCAGTCTGTAGTGCATTAACCAGCATTAAACCACATAATCTACTGTATAAACCCAGAGGCAGCGGAACTAGAGTGACAACATACTGTACAAATATTACACTGATTGTCATGCAAACAAAAACAATTAGGCCTATGCACTTTTATATATATTTTTCATTCAAACATCGAAAAAGAACTCTTTCAAATTTTGTTCTTATGATCGAACAAAACATTATCATCAACAGTCACTCCTTAAATCAAAAAACTCTCATTCGTCATCATCCTCATGAAGCACAACGTCATAAACATTGATGGCGTCTTTCGCATGCTGACTCTTTTCTAATCGCTTGTCGAAGTGTCCATACTTACATCTTCACAGGCTTCTTAAAATGGACCCATGTGTTACATTGAGCCTCCTGGCGAGAAATGTGCTGCTGCTGAATATGCTGTAATACCACTAATTAACAAGTAATTAGCAAACCAAAAAGAATGTAAGAGACCAGTATAAGGGTAAAAATACAGTAAAAACCACAAGAAAAAAAGCAGGGGACAAACTGACCAATCAACATGCTCCATTGCTCCTGTGTTATGTTATTGACTTGTAAACTTCATGAAGCCAGAATTTCTGGGATTGAAATTCAACATTTACCTTGTCAGCAGTAAGGAACAAAAACACGTGTTTTGTCTCTACTGTTGTTAGCTTTTCGTGTATCGTTGATGCACCATCAACCCCATCTGCTCGTGATTCAGCCTCAGAGAACAATAGCAATGCATCCCATTGTTCTAGTATCCTGAAACAGCCTTCTCCTCGTGATAACCATCGTGTTTGAAAGAGTTTAAGCACCTTAAGATGGGGCACCTGAACCACCTCCTGGATAAGGCGGAATTGATATTTACGTTTACTACTTCGGGAGAAGTAACAGCAAATACCTTTGACGAATGCCTCCAACCACGATGGGAGGCAATGATTGGTATGGTTTGCGAAAGAGCAAATGAATGGCAAATGCAGTCACTGATGAATATACCAGGGACATCAGCCTTCAGTCGCGCCTGGAATCCAGTGTTAGATGCCATCACTGTTGAACAATTGTCGCTCGCAAAACCAGTTATATTATTGAGGGGAATTAATTAAATTTATTTAATTTCATTTAATATATGCTTGATGGTTGTGTACAGTCCATCAGCAGGTCCGTCTTCAACCTCTACCGTGGTCAACAAAGTATCTCTTACTTTGTTGTTAGAGTGAAACCTCACAACTACAGCAAAAATCTGAGAGACTAGAATGTCTGTAGATTCGTTAATCAATAATGAAAACTTGCTATTTCTGCAGATATTCGTGAGGATTTCACTCTCCTAATGTCAAATGGCCACTTGCATTACATACGATTCGTTTATTTTACGTTGAAAGTAGCGGTCTTACCGATTTGTAAAATTTAAGTGTGGTCTTGCGCACTTTGCAAATAGCACATAAACTATTATTTTTGCTTTTGACAATCCCGTTACCGAAATCTGGATCGGTCAGCCCAACATCATTAAAATGCTGCTTATACCACAATTTTGGTTTCTTGGTGGTGGGGTCGTCGAGTTGGCACTGCTACTACGTTCTCCTAAATCTTCTTCCGGCTCACTCATCATCATAGCTACAAATTAATGTGCTCTATCTATAATAATGTAGGATGCGCGCGATTTATCAAAATGTATGTGTTGTGTGTGTTCTGATACTGCATCCTTGCGCATGATATTACACGCATACTAATCATTTTCATTTTTGGCCTGATTATAATAGGCCTAATTACAATGTTTGGGCGGCGTAAATGTAACAAGAAAGCTTCAGCAATAAACAATGTCCCCACACTGCAAATTTCAGCTCTGAGGCGCGTCTCAAACTAAAAGTTGCAATGAAGATTTGCCAATAAGCATTATCAATCATTCAATCAATCAATCGTCACCAGAGGCGGAGCACGACGCTAGCCCCCACTCTTCCAAATACAAAGAGAAACGAAAAGAATTCCCAGACAGAGAAGAGCACGTTATCGTAGGCCTACTAAAAAAAAAAAGAAAACGACAAAACAAAGTTCGAAAGTTTTCTAAAATCAGCCTTCTTGTAAGAAGATGAAGTTTGTAATATATATATATATTTAGGACCAACATTATTAAATGTTATCTTTCATAGGCATCTTTTGTATTCTAATTTATATATTTGTAATTTCTCACGTGCAGAACATGGCCTACTGATTAAATAGATATCCTATGTAGGCACAACAAGCGAGTGAGCGCACCACTAACCAATAAAGTAGTAGTAGTAGTAGTACAGGCTAAATGTGACAAAATCCTATTTAACCTTAAACTATAATAAAAGGACTGTTTGCATATTCTTGTAGGCCTATATTTAAAAAGTCATGAAAACATTCTTGCCACCTTTTTATAGTCGCGTTTACAAAATATTCAGGGTCAAAGGTCAATTACCTACATGCAGCATGTTCCAGGTCATAACTCATCAAGTACTTCCTCTAAAAGCACAAAAATAGTATCTACACCGAGGTTTTTCGGGACAAAAATTATGGGAAATTTTTGACGCCTTATAATAGCTGCGTTGACCAAATATTCAGGGTCAAATGTCAGTATAGCCTTTATATAGCATGTTCCGTGTCATAAATCATCAACTACTTGGTCTCAAAGCACGAAAATTGTGTCTACACTAAGACTTTTGGGGTCAACATTTATGGAAACATTTTTACCGCCTTCTAGTAGCTGCGTTGATTAAATATTCCAAGTCAAAGGTTACTCACTTTTATCCAATATATGATGGTCATAACTCCTGAACCACTTGGTCCAGAAGCACAAAAATAGTGCGTACACAAAACATAAATGAGGTGTCTACACCTATATGTTTTGGGTGTCAACAGACACAATTATATTCTTTAGGCTTATAATGTATTTTTCATTGATTTTTTAGCATAACAGCCACTCGTTAATTAATGTGCACTTGTAATTAGTACCACCGAAATGATGAGAATCCAAGATAAATCTGATACAACTATGGACCAGTCAGAGAACAGCTTAGAAATAATTAGACTGATTAGACGTTTTTGCGAGTAGGTTGTACGTTTTTGCGAGTAGGTAGTTCGTTTGTAACTGTATTTTTGGCGGCGATTGCCTTCCATATCTACCTTAATAGACCGAATTAGCGACGAAAGAGGACGTCATCACAATTTTGCCGAGTGTGTATAAAATTGTAAACAAAGCCTAAAAGTCCTATTCTAACGTTGCGAGTTTTTGTATGGAGTTTTTGTCCTGGAAAACAAGCAAAAAAACAAAAGTACGCGGGTAAAATACTTTTTAAAACATTGGTAGGTTAAGGAAGGTTCATAGAACCATCAGAAGATGTTTGATTTGATTTTCATGTAAAATTAAGTTAAATATACGTAGAGTATTTACAGGCTAGGCCTCGGCCCCTGACACTTGTTGCACGACAACGCGACATTGCAGGATGTGATGATTGACCTGACTGTAAATGTTCAGCCCCGTGCTGTCGTCAAGTCTTTTACTTGTTTAAACATCCAGTCTGCCAAAGTTATTGGTGTGAATTTAGGAACATTATCCAATAATTTTGAATAACTTAGCTCTCCTTGACATCTGCAAGTACAACACATTTCATAGTTGTCCATGTGACAGATTACCACATAGCCGACATAACAAGCTAACCTGTATTATGGTAATACAAATCACAATGAATGAACACCGACTATCACCATCTCTATTTAGGACCAACAAAATTATTCTTTCTCATTCTCCTGATGACCGTCAGATCAATCTCACCGAAACATTCAATTCAACAGGTGTTTATGGATTGAACTGTTACAGAATATCCGTCATTGGTCAAATAAATTAGTATATTTCAACTTACTTTCTGTGGTCTCCGTTGTTGCCTGTGGAGCGGTTGTGGTAGCTTCTAAATAAATGTAAAACATTAACACAAATATTAAATTTATCATTATTTAACGTCTATTAATTACCATACTTCTTGACTACTAAGGATAGGCCTACACTTTATACAGATTTAAGTTAACAAGTTAACAATTTAACATTAGGTGTTATTACTTTTTATTATTTTTTTTCCAACTTTTTCTTAGTAAACGCTTTAATTTTACCATTTTTATACTATTTCAGTATGATCCCACTGTACAGTAGCTCACTTCAGGTTTTAATAAACAGACTTGCCAGATCAATTCTGGGTGCAGATATTAGAACACCTGTTGTTGATTTTATAACACCACTTAAAAAATTGGACAAGTGTTAATTAACGATTAATTTAATTAACTGCTACAGTATGTGCCTATGTGATAATTATCACAACTTAAATACAGGAAGAAAATCTTAAAACACTTTGGTCTTGTCAAAATGACGAAATTAATCAAGTAGAAGAAAATTTTAATATCGTTCTGTCAAACTTTAATTAACCTACGATTAACTTTACGCAGCAATACATTCAAATACGTAAAAATCCTACAAAAATCTATACTGTACAACTTAATTCTTCATATAATTTTAATTTTGTTTTGTATGCAATTTCAGTGTTTACGAAGGCAGCTAGAAATAAAGAAAGATTTCTAACTAACCCCAGTTGTTTTAGCTTCTGTATAGATAAAACAAAACAAGAGAGATGGTCATCGACTTCAGGACCAAACATAAATTTCAACCAATAATCATCAAAAGAAAAGAAATTGAAATCGTTGATAATTATAATTATCTGGGCATTAATACTCAATTGGGCTGGAGTGACCATATTGAGTTAGTGTAAAAAATTAAATCTTTGGATGTACTGCTTCATTAAACTACAGAAAATTTTAATTCCAGTGAACCTATGTTGCTTTAGAACTTTCTATAGAGCTGTAATATGTAGTGTTTGGACGTATTGCCTTGGTTGCTTGGCTATTGCTTGGCTGGTAATGCTGCCAGAGTGGATAAAGGACACTTTGAAATTTTCATCCGTCGGGCTGGTAAAATGATTGGTTTAGATTTGCCCTCCATAGTGAGGTGTGTTTAGAACATCTTCAGAAAAACTTTGATCGGATTGAGTTAGATCCTTTCCATCAGGTTATTATAAACCAACTTAATCCAAGCAGTAGAATGAGGGTACTCAGCGCGAAAACAAATGGCTATGGCAAGTCCTTTATCCCCTCCGGCGTCATCCAGTTCAACAAGAAGGCAAGAAGAAAAATTCTATAGTCGGGACAAGGCTTAACCCAACTTGTGATGATGAAGTTGGTGATACGAACATGCAGACATAAAACTGTTCAGTGTTATTCATATCATACCATGTAACAGTATAGGCTCATGGGCTTAAGACAGGTGGGGCTTGCCATAGCTCATGAGATCAAAACATGTCTCATTCCACTTGTGCTGGACAATTGGCACATGACTGATGTACTATTTCACTCATACTGAACTAGTTTTAGTTCACATTTATTAGCGGTGTTTCATTATAGTCATGTACAGTATATATAATACGTCTTGTCTCTGGTTATAAATCAAATAACCTGACTCTTTAAAGGTATTATTTTTACAATAAGACATGAAAATATTTAGTAAGTTATGAATGTGCACACATGGTTAATATGTAAATGCCAAGGTATGATAGACTATTAAACTACAGAAAAATAATAGGCTTCTATAATTCAGATAGAAATTGTACCATGAATAAAAACTATAATACTCTTATTGGATTACGTGGCCTAAAAAAGTTATCAAAACAGGGTATAGAATTGAAAAGGTGCAAAATTGTAATTCTTAATCAGCCTCTTTTCCACCTTGTCTCTCTTCCCAAATCATTTTTTTTTACGTCACCAACTCTTTTTTGACAGAGGTTGACAAAACGCTGTCAAAATGCTCAGACCGCACTGACTCAAATACAAAAGCTCACTTAGAAAGTTAGACCTTATCCTTTTGACCCCCGTACAGCCCATCGCAATTATCATTAATAGCCTGGTTGTAAAATTGCTGAAATTAATGAAGGAAGGAAAAAAGTAAAGGAAAATTAATTTTTGCTTTTTTTTTAAATCAGCATAACCTTATAGTGTTTCAGAAAAAAAAAATCCCCATGCCTAGGGCTTGGGAAATTTTTTTTACTACACTTTAAAATTTTGACCTAAAATACCCTATTTTAAACTATTTAAGATGGGGGTAGGGGAAATATAAATTTATGTTTTTGGTCATTTTTACATAAACTGTGGATATGAAATGTAACAACAACTTGGCTAAATAGTTACTCATCACTCTCATTAAAAAATTTGATCGGAATAATGATGACGTCATCATGACAAATTCCAAGATGGCATCCATTATGGTGGGAAAAACTATGTTTTTAATGTAAAAATAATTTTATTATCAACGTAAATATAATCTCAATACAATATTATACATACAGGAATAAAAAATATATATAATTAATGAACTACTACAAAGTTAACCCAACGAAAAAACGAAATAGTGAAATTTTGCTTTAAAATACCAATTTTTGGATCGGGGTATGGGAAACATGTTTATATTTTTAGTCACTTTTATTTTTTTTTCTATAACTGTGAAAACTGACAGGACCTTAGTTAAATACTTACCCATTATAGTCGTTTAGTAGAGGACCTGGGGGTCTGATAGTGTGGGTCCAAAATAATATGGATAAGCAAATCATTATTTGTGGTGTGGCGACCTCGTCGTGGCATCGGACGATGGGAGTCTAGGCCTGTCTGACGGGAATTCCCCACCTCCCAAGCAAATTGGAATGATGACGTTAACACACCAAATTCCAAGACTACAATCAAAATTAAAGGAAATGTTTACCAATTTAAATTTAATTTTTCTACACTACATTTTTCTTCATCATCATTACTATACTATTATGCTGTTACTCTATAATATTATTAATATAGTATATCAGATTATTCTTATGCGTTTAAAAAAATGTACAGCTTATAATTCACATTAATATTAGCGTTAGTACTGTTATTCTTACTATACTGATGTCATTATTATTATCATCATCATCATCTTCCTCATTTTCATCCCCATCTTCATTATAATCCCCACTATAAGGAGGATTTTGATGATGAGGAGGAGAAGAAAGATGATGAGGATGATGGTGAGGAAGAAGATGATGATGATTATGATTGATGATAAAGGTTGTGATGATGGTGATGAGAATGATAGAAAATGATTGGTGAGAATGATGCCTCTCATCCTCACCTCGTCCTCACTTTCATTCTCCTCCTCATCATCATCAATGATGATGATGGTGACTGATGATGAAGAGCATAATGATGAAAATGATGATGGTAATGATGACGATGATGATAATGACAGTAATGAGGATGATGATTAGGATGATGATAATGATGATTATGATTATGGTGATGAAGATATAGTACAGGCTAAATGTGACAAAAATCCTATTTAACCTTAAACAAACTCTAATAAAAGGACTGTTTGCATATTCTTGTAGGCCTATATTTGAAAAGTCATGAACAAATTTTTGCCACCTTTTTATAGTTGCGTTTACAAAATATTCAGGGTCAAAGGTCAATTACCTGTATGCAGCATGTTCCAGGTTATAACTCTTCAACTACTTGCTCTAAAAGCACAAAAATAGTGTCTACACCGAGATTTTTCGGGACAACAATTATGGGAAATTTTTGACGCCTTATAGTAGCTGCGTTGACCAAATACTTCGTCTCAAAGCACGAAAATTGTGTCTACACTTAGATTGTTGGGGTCAACATTTATGGAAACATTTTTACCGCCTTCTAGTAGCGGTGTTGACTAAAAATTTAGGGTCAAAGGTCATTGACCTTTATACAACTATAATCGTCATAACTCCTCAACCACTTTACCTAGATGCACAAAAATAGTGGCTACACCTAGGTTTTTGGGATCAACATTTATTCAATTTTTTTTTGCCACCTTCTAGTAGCTGCGTTGACCAAATAATATTCAGGGTCAAAGGTCAATGAACTTTATACAACATATAATGGTCATAACTCCTCAATTATGGGAAATTTTTGACGCCTTAGAGTAGCTGCGTTGACCAAATATTCAGTGTCAAAGGTCAGTATAGCCTTTATATTTCAAGTTTCGGGTCATACATCCTCAACTACTTGGTCTCAAAGCACGAACAATTGTGTCTACACTTAGATTTTTGGGTTCAACATTTATGGAAACATTTAACCGCCTTCTAGTAGATGCGTTGACTAAATATTTATGGTCAAAGGTCAGTGACCTTTATACAACTATGATCGTCATAACTCGACCAGTTTGTCTAGATGCACAAAAATAGTGGCTACACCTAGGTTTTTTGGGATCAATTTATTAAAGTATTTTTGCCATCTTCTAGTAGCTGCGCTGGCTAAATATTCCAGGTCAAAGGTTACTGGCCTTTATCCAATATAATATGATGGTCATAACTCCTCAACCACTTGGTCCAGAAGCACACAAATATTGTCCACACCTATAGTAGGCCTGTAAAGTGAACCAATCCTTCAAATTGCGATAACATTCTGAAACTTGGCACAACAACAACATGGAATTGAAGGGTTGCCCAAAATTTGGTCAGGGGAAAGCGGCTATTTTGGATTTCAAAATGGTGGACCCCAAATTTTCACTTTTTAGGTATATCTCAGCTGAAAGGCACCTAAAGTGTTCTGATTTTGGGGGCAAAGTATATGGTATTGGGGTCAACAAACATTGGTATAACTTACATTTCGATTGCATGGTGGCCATTTTGAATTCCAAAATAGCTGCCATTAAATTGCATTACAACGCATATCTGAACTTGTAGAGCCTCAATTACGGTGAATGTTTTCGGGTTTATTAAACAAATATATGCAATTACAAATACTGACTGAATAAATATTGGCTCTTTTGAATTCAAAGATGGCCACCAAATACATGGTTTCAAGGCTTATTCTTTTATAACACCTTTATTACATTCAGTAAATATGGTGTAATTATTGGTCACAAGAAACATTTTGGATACAACCTCACTTATGATTTTTGATTTGGGAGACAAAGTCATTGTAATTGGCGTTAAGAAAACCTATTATATAGATATAACTTTTATTATGATTGCATGATGGCCACTTTGAATTCCAAGAGAGCCGCATTCAAATGAGTATGTCAATGCATATATCTTTAATAATTTTAGGGCTCGATTACAGTAAAATGGTGTATATTTTTGGAGTTTACAAGCATATTGATACAATATCCATTATGATTACATGGTGATGATTTTTAATTCCAAGATGGCTGTAATCTATTACCCGCTTTACACTTTGGAATGTCTATTTTGCTCAATATGGTGTATGTTAGTACATTTAAAGGAATAAAGTGTGCACCAATTGATCAACCATCTGTGAACTCTATTAATGACTACGACAATAACATAATTATGCTGTATCTCTATTACATATACCGGTACACATTCTCATAGTTTCACATGTTATTTCTAAGCAAATAAACATAAATTATAGTTCGTAATTATTAACATATGTTTAATGTTTACGTAGATGAGCACAGACTTCTTGTAAGGTCTTGTCTAACATTTTCCCTGGCAACCACACAACTCGGTACATCCTAATCCATTCTTTCTGCATTTGCAGCTTCCAAGTTCACAGTTTGGGCGGATCCAGGATTTGAAAGAGGGGGTTCAAAATGTTTCCAAAAACACCTAAAATGAAAGGGGGTGGGGTCCTCTCCATGGAAAATTTCCCCCTTGAACCCGCCACTGTATGACTAACGCTCAGGTGAGCTAGGGTTTTAAAACAAATCGTATATACTCGCGTATAATAGGACGTGGCTTAAAATAGCAAATTACGATCGAGAAAAAGGGGGTCATCTTATACGCACGGCATTCATATTTTAGATTTGTATAATCATGTTCGTCTTATGTGCGGATCGTCCGTAACACGCGAACTTACTACCAGACATACAAATATCAACCAAAAATCTCCTAAACTAGGGGTCGTCCCACGGGTCACCTTATAGGACATACGCGAGTATATACGGTATACTGCTTATTATGTAACCCCTGCGGAAGTTCGGGTTCCAGTCACATAACCAACGGTTGGTTGTAACAATAAACGCGCAAGACTGCTCGCGACAGATTCTACAAGTGCGTGGTTGGCTGGGTTGTTTTGGTCAGAAAGGAGAAACTTTATCTGTGAATTGATTTTCGAACGAGATAATGAAAACTCTCTAATTACTCAAGCTACTGTATGACCGTTTTTATAATATTTTTGATAAAACCAATTTCTTCTAATTTTAAATACGTTTTCCCCTGAATTTGTGATAATTCGTTATCACGTAAGTGCTAAATGCGTGACACATTTATGATCTAGCATGTGCTTCCGCAAAATGCGTGTTTCATCCAAAATCACTTAACGCGGGACTGTCCCGCACGATGCGTGACGGTTGGTAACTATGGCTCGAATTCAGCACTGGCCATCAGGTGCAAGCTCGGTGGTCTAGAGGTATGATGCCAGACTAGTGATCTGGAACTGGAGAACTGTGTTCGAGTCCCACTGGAGAACAACTTTCACACGCACTGATTATTCAGTACATTTTCACGACAAGTTGGGCAACATTTTCACAAGTTGGGCAAAATTACACATATAGGCCCCCCTATTGATTCTCCTGACACAAATCCAGGTATTGTTTATTCCATCACGATAATACCAATTACCATTTAATAATAAAACAGTCATCTCGACCTGCGCTACTTGCAGTGAAGTGAATCTAAAATATTTATGAAGTTATGATGATCTGAAGTGTTTAAAATCGTACACAATAATAGTTGAACCAACTTTAAAATACCACAAATACAAATGTGCGTGACGATATTTTATTGCTTTAGAAATGTGATTTCAAAAAGTATGTATTCGTGAAGTTATGATGATCTGAAGTGTTTAAAAACATACACAATAATAGTTGAACCAACTTTAAAATACCACAAACACAAATGTGCGTGACGATATGTTATTGCTTTAGAAATGTGATTTAAAAAAGTACATTAGTGCATCGTATGTAAGGGCTTGTTTGTTGGGGGTTTTTTTACTTGCAGCGTGTGGGAAATTGGTAATAGGTAAATTGTAATGAATATAATCAATATTATAGCCTCTAAAACATAATAATTATTATTGAAGGGTCCTTTTAAAGTTTAAATAGGATTTTTTAAAGTTATATTTTTAGATCATTAGACCAGATTAGACCTTAAACGAGCCCCCGATACTGCACTGCCCATACCTACGCCAAGACTGGACCTGGGTATTATTAGTGGTTACATAACGTTTGCTATGCATATATCATGCGCTAGAAGTGGAAGACCATAAGGTATTGGGAATGTGCCTCTCTCTGGTATCAGTGTAAAAGTGTAAGGTATAGGATAGCGTGGATTTAAACATTTTCCTAATGATAATGTACAAAATAAGTGTCAAGGAAAGTAAGTATGATTGTTGGAAAAAATGGTCAACATTTTATTTTGATTTCTCACCCTGACCTTCGCCTGGGCGAAGTGGGCGAAGGTTTGGATCCACATCTAGTTAGCATGAATTATGTAAGCCAGGACCCAGTAGTATTTTGTTACGTTTCTTCACAGAGGGAGGTTCGTCCGAACCCCCTGAACCCCTTTGGATCCGCCACTGGTTTGTGTGTCCACAACGAATTAACACCTTGGCGACATTTAAAAATTCGGTAGAGAGCTCCAAACTGGAGTAAATTTGTTGTCGTCCTTCATCCATCCCCAATTAACTGGATCCTGTTCAACTCTGAGGGCATCTAGACAGTTTTACCACTTCCTGGATTGTAGTACAGATCGTTTGACATGTTTCTTTAATGCAGCTGATGTTGGGGGGTATTGCCTTTCCCCAGTTGTAAATAGGTATCACCTTGCATCATCTACCTTCTTATCATCAAATGTGCCGCAGTACATAGCAACAACATAGTTCTAGTGTCTAGAACTAGGTTGTTGTCTCCTGTTTTAGTGTCTGTTTCACTAACATCTCCTACAGATTCTCTAGAATACTGGAATCATACATGGCATCTTTTTCCAATTTTCGTTAAATGCCGGTTTACCTTACCTTGAACAGATGAAGTTGTATCACAACCGCTAAAGTAGTGAAACGACAATTGTGAGCGGTTGATATCTGTGGTCCCAGAGAAGTAGCAATCGTGTGTATTGGAATGTACTTTAAGTGCTTCCCCTCGAGTCAAAGCTCCTGGATGCCATGCAGGTATTCTGTGGAAAGCTGACAACTCAATAGCAGCAACATCACTGTCTACAGTCTTGACAAGAATGCGTGGAAAATTTTCAGCAGCATGTTTAACATGAACAAACATACGTTCATCTGCCTCTTTCATGTTACATAGCAATGGTTGCAGATCTACATACTGGTTTGCTACAGCTCCGTCTCCCAGAGACTCTACAAACAATCCGTGGTTTGTGTCAATGTTCTCAACTACTTCGTTTGCAATTAATGGAAACACTCTGATTTGTTGTCATCACATCTCAGGAATGTAGACCAATTGTCGGGCATACTCCCGCTGGCTTTGATGACCCTCCTCACACCAGAGCCGCGGTTCGAACGCGTACCAGACTTTAAACTGTCTTTAAAGTATGTGTGTAGTGCAAAAAAATTCGACATCAATCGGACTTATTCGATGTCGAATAGTGACTAATATTGTATATTTTTGGAAAATATTTCAGCCGTTCCAAATCTCTATCCTATTCTTCCTTCTTCCTTTATTCTTTCACAATTTGCATTTATTTATACTTTTTATTCATATTTTATACACTACACACATAGGCTAGTCACTAGGTTTAGGCCTAGGCTATGCCTATTACTATATTATTTAAATATACAATTTTAATAGATAATATTAATTTAACATAGACATAGTAATTCATACACTATTTTTGTGCTTTTAGACCAAGTGGTTGAGGAGTTATGATCATCATATGTTGTATAAAGGTCATTGACCTCTGACCCTGAATATTTGGTCAACACAGCTACTAGAAGGTGGCAAAAATGTTTCAATAAATGTTGATCCCAAAAACCTAGGTGTAGCCACTATTTTTGTGCATCTAGGCGAACTGGTTGAGGAGTTATGACAATCATAGTTGTATAAAGGTCATTGACCTTTGACCCTAAATATTTGGTCAACGCTTAAAGGCAAAAATGTTTCCATAATTGTTGACCCCTAAAACCCAGGTGTAAATACTATTTTTGTGCTTTTAGAGCAAGTGGTTAAAAACTTATGACCCAGAACATGTTATATAAAGGTCTTTGACCCTTGACCCTGAATATCTGGTCAACGCATCTATAAAAAGGCGGCAAAAATTTTTCCATAATTATTTACGCATAGACGTACGAGAATATGCAGAAAGTCCTTTTATTAGAGTTTGTTTAAGGTTAAACCATATTTAGCCTCTACTAATAAGAATGGTGATGAGGAGGATGAGGATGATGCGGTTGATAAGGAGAAGGAAGATAATGAGGTAGATGGTGATTGATGATGAATGATGATGAGGAAGAAAATTATGCCGATAAACGGAAGCAGTGATGTAGGTTATGGTCGTTTTTCTGGTAGCCTTTAGTTTAAAAGGATAAGCTTTTTCATGGTTTTCACAAGCGCCTTGAGCACTTTAGTGGAGATGTGCGCTTAATAAATCTTTATTATTATTATTATTATTATTATTATTATTATTATTATTATTATTATTATTATTATTATTATTATTATTATTATTATTATTATTATTATTATTATTATTATTATTATTATTATTATTACATTATTAAGAAGACACAACAATAATTGTTACTTAACCAATATCCTGAGGCGCGTGGAACGGAGAGAGTAGAGAAAACAGTAGAACTTATACATACTGTTTGTGGTGCTGAACTAATAATAATAATTCAAATAATAAAACATTAAATAGTTAAACCGTTATTAAATTTTTAATTATTGGTCATGTTGTAACTTCAGCCGTTGTCTTTCAAACCATTTAAATTATCGTAGCAAAAAGTATAAAAACTAACTTGTGTTTTTAATGAAAGTTAATCACTTGTAAATTATAAATGCTTGAAAATGTGTAGTTCAATGGTTTGATTGAATGTGTGTGGAATGGGAATTGAATATATGGCGTAGACCTATGTTTAAGAAAAAAATACAAAGTATAGGCCTATGTAGGCCTAAAAAAAAACAAAGGTTACTTTGTATTTGGTCACGGAGGGCTATATCTGAGGATTTTTCAAATGAAAGATAGGGGGTAGCTAGCTACCCTATTCTCCCTTCTCCCTCCATGACTGGATCCGCCAATGATCGCGCACACAGCAAATCTATTATATTATAGATGTATCGAGTTTAAGTGGATGGTGGCTCGTTTATTGCTCGTCCCGGTAGAGTCGGTGTCAGTATCAGATTGACTGCAATACAATAAACTCCTACTTGTTTAACTTTGTATACCACAAATTGTAGTTGTGGTCAGCGAATGTCCTTATAATTATCTAAAAGTATTTACACTGAAGAGTTATCCTTTACCACAAACCACAGAAAGCCGTTGAGTTCAGCCAGACTAACATTCATATAAGCTTATTTGGAATATGAACTGGAATCTGGGGAATTCATGTTTATATATATGCATATATATATATATATTTGTGTGTGTATATGTTTTATTTTATTGTTGTATGTATAACATTGTTTTAAAATTGCTCTGATAACAATAAAGTTAATTTTACATTTTAAAAAAAAGTTTTTACAGCCAAAATGGCAGCCATCTTGGATTTTTTGTGATGAGACGTCATCATTCTGATTTTTTAATGAGAGTGAAGAGTAACTATTTAGCCAAGTCCTTGTTACATTTGATATACATAGAATATGTAAAAGTGACTAAAAACATACATTTATTTCCCCTACCCCCATGCTAATTAGTCAAAGTGCTATAAAAAAAAATTGCCCAAGCTCTAAGAATAGGGATTTTTTTCTGAGACACTATATGATATACTGTTTCAGAAAAACCAAAAATAAATTTTCCTTTACTTTTTTCCCGCTAATTTCCTACTGCGCCCAGACTATAATTTTTGAATTGTTAAAAATAAAGCTGACTGAAAAACGCTCTTTCAATTAAAACTGGGCAGCTGCGTATAAGCAAATAGATGACATAACATACCTTTCGATGAGAAACCAGTCAGTAAAAGTAATACAACCAGAAGAGAATGTGAGATTATACTGTACATCATTGTACTGTATAGCTAAATGTGTCTTCTGACTGTTCAAAATGAGGAGAAACTCAATGAGGAAATACACATATATTCTACCTATAAATACATGAAAAATTAGCATAAAAATGAAGCATTGAAAACAAGTCAACTGAGTGTTTCATAATAGCTTCAAAAATACTATAAAAACTATAGTATTGTTATACTAAAAATGCATGAGTCATGATATCTCAAGCATCATATCAAAGGATTTTTACGGAGTGGAATGTCTATTGCTGACAGTATGAGTAGACATGGTGCCGAGTTGACTTGCGGTCGAGTTGACTTGGGGCCGGGGTGACTTCAATTCGATTTGATGTAGGCCTAGGCCTACCATATAGACTTTCTTTAGCAATATGTTCTTACCATACCATTACTGTTATTGTTATTATTATTATTATTATTATTATTATTATTATTATTATTATTATTATTATTATTATTATTATTATTATTATTACTGTTATTGTTATTGTTATTGTTATTGTTATTATTATTATTATTAATATTATTATTCATCAATATTATTATTATTATCATTATTATTATTATTATTATTATTATTACTATTATTATTTGTTTTCAATTTTTAAAAATATATTTTATTATTTTTATTATCATAGCCGATTGTTATGCTTCAGCTTCAGACTTGCTAGCGTCCCCAACCAACACCCAAATAAAATGTTGTTTGAGATAATGTAATTACAATTCTCATGGCGATTTTAATGATCTATAGGCCTTCAATACCAAGGCTTTTCGACCGGAATTGGCATTATTTTCAATAATAATGTACTAAATAAATATGAAATTACCCCCAGGAAGACAGAGTGCTAGTCAGAAAAAGATTATCAATTAAAAACCAAAAGTATACCCACCTCTAAAGCAAGTTTCTAATTCAAATGCCTTGGAAATACATTTACTGAATAATATGTACTTTTCAACGAAAACTAGAAGGTGCAAAATAAAAAGATAATTAATCATCTTTTAATTGGTGTAAGGAAGAAATATTTATTATGATTTACTGTACAAATGTGGAAGAAATTATATCGCAATTTCATCCATTATGTTCATTTTCATTATCGGCTACTGGAGCCTTCCAGAACTCATATCGGTGTACAGTAGGCTAAAGGATATGTATAATGCCTAATACAATGCCTATTATGTAACGACTAATATATTAAACGAATAGAAGAAAAGATGAGCGCAATAACATTCTTGTATCAGAATTCAATGTTAATAAATTATAATCAAGTACAAATACCTACAGTAAAAGTCCTTAATTAACAATTATGCAATGAAAATTACTATTCAGATTCTATTCTATTCGCGATAATATTTGTTACCCACCCACCCCTTCCCCAGTTCAAAAACGCTGTCTGGAGTCAGGGACGTATCCAGGATAGCCATTGGGGTGCGGGGGTGTGGAAAATGGACCATGTAGGCTATAATTTCATATTAATACTAAGGCCTATATATAATTATAATTTTAAACATCACTATTTGTTTTATTTTATTATTATTTTTAACCTACATTATTATATTATATACATATTATTAGACCTATTAATTACTGCACAGTATTATTATCATTGTATAATATTTTGATAATTGTTTATTAAAATAATTATTTAGATTAAACACCAAAACGGCTACAGTGGTATAATAATTATCATTATGCTAGGAAATAGCAGAAACTAGGACTCTCTTATTATCTTATTAAACAATTAATCGTCAACAATACTAAGTTCTTAATTTTTGCCTTTTATTTTCCTCTTCAGAAATGTTCGTTAAAATTGAAAACAGGTCAACTTCGAACGGTGTTTCAAGTTAACCTAAAACACTTACTTCTAACTTTTCAAAATGAGAAAATACACGTATATTATTTTACCTATTATAATATTTACAATTATCATAAAAACGAAGCATTGAAAACAGGTCAATTACGTACGTTCTATGGACGAAACACAGTGTTTCAAATTAACCTAAAACACTTACTTTGCCCCGATACTCTTACATATTACTTTAGTAAACTCATACCCCCAAAATTGAGTAGGAATGTTAAATAAATCCCTGGTTCGTAACCTATTCAGACTGGGG